AAATCTCCAAAAGGCATCAAATTACAGATTAGACATTCTTATAATATGTCAACAAAAGTTAGATTTTATTTCCATCATTTACACTTTCAAAATAACAGAAGACAAAAAAAATGGCGTCTGCAAAAGTTTGGGCCCCCTGCAGAGTTAATATCTTGTACTGCCCCCTTTGGCAAGTATCACAGCTTGTAAACGCTTTTTGTAGCCAGCCAAGAGTCTTTCAGTTCTTGTTTGAGGTATCTTTGCCCATTCTTCCTTACAAAAGTCTTCCAGTTCTTTGAGATTTCTGGGCTGTCTGTCACGCACGGCTCTTTTAAGGTCTATCCATAGATTTTCAATGATGTTGAGGTCAGGAGATTGTGAAGGCCATGGCAAAACCTTCAGTTTACGCCTCTTGATGTAATCCCCCGTGGATTTCGAGGTGTGTTTTAGGATCATTATCCATTTGTAGAAGCCATCCTCTCTTTAACTTCAGCTTTTTCACAGATGGCATCAAGTTACCATCCAAAATTTGCTGAAATTTTATTGAATCCATTTTTCCTTCTACTCGTGAGATGTTCCCTGTGCCACTGGCTGCAACACAACCCCAAAGCATGATTGATCCAACCCCATGCTTAACAGTTGGACAGAGGTTCTTTTCATTCAATTCTGTGCCCCTTCTTCTCCAAACGTACCTTTGCTCATTCCGGCCAAAAAGTTCCATTTTAACCTCATCGGGTTCCACAGAACTTGTTTCCAAAATGCATCAGGCTTGTCTATATGTTCATTTGCAAAGTTCAAACGATGATGTTTGTGGTGAGGACGTAGAAGAGGTTTTCTTCTGATGACTCTTCCTTGAAGACCATATTTGTACAAGTATCTCTTTATAGTGGAATAGTGACCACAACTCCAGTGTCTGCCAGATCTTTCTGGAGGGATCGTGCAGTCAAACGTGGGTTTTGAATTGTTTTTCTCACAATCCTGCGAGCTGTTCTGTCTGATATTTTTCTTGGTCTTCCAGATCTTGCTTTAACTTCCACTGTTCCTGATGACTGCCATTTCTTAATTACATTCCGAACAGAGGATATTGACATCTGAAAACGCTTTGCTATCTTCTTATAGCCTTCTCCAGCTTTGTGAGTGTCAACTATTTTCAGTTTCAGTTTTCTAGACAACTGCTTAGAAGAACCCATGGTGCTGATTGTTGGGGCAAGGTCAGATGAGTCTGGGCATTTAAAACCTTTGAGATTGACATCAAAGTCCCCATCTTTACCCCTTACATCAGTGTCCAGCGGAGTCCCCCCTTATATCAGTGTCCAGCAGAGTGCCCCCTTATGTCAGTGTCCAGCGGAGTGCCCCCCTTACGTCAGTGTCCAGCAGAGTCCCCCCTTACGTCAGTGTCCAGCGGAGTGCCCCCCTTATGTCAGTGTCCAGCAGAGTACCCCCTTACTTCAGTGTCCAGCGGAGTGCCCCCCTTATGTCAGTGTCCAGCGGAGTGCCCCCCTTACGTCAGTGTCCAGCAGAGTCCCCCCCTTACGTCAATGTCCAGCGGAGTACCCCCTTACTTCAGTGTCCAGTGGAGTGCCCCCCTTTTGTCAGTGTCAAGCAGAATCCCCTCTTACGTCAGTGTCCAGCGGAGTGCCCCCCTTACATCATTGTTCAGCAGAGTCCCCCCTTCTGTCAGTGTCCAGCAGAATGCCCCCCTTACGTCAGAGCTCAGCGGAGTCCCCCCCATTACATCAGAGCTCAGCAGAGTCCACCCCCCCTTACGTCAGAGCTCAGTGGAGTCCACCCCCCTTACGTCAGAGCTCAGCGGAGTCCAACCCCCATTACATCAGAGCGCAGCAGAGTCCACCCCCCCTTACGTCAGAGCTCAGTGGAGTCCACACCCCCCTTACATCAGAGCTCAGCGGAGTCCACCCCCCCCATATGTCAGAGCTCAGCAGAGTTGCTCCCCTTACGTCAGAGCTCAGCAGAGTCCACCCCCCCCCTAATGTCAGAGCTCAGAGGAGCCGCCCCATGTCAGAGCTCAGCGGAATCCCCCCCCTCATGTCAGAGCTCAGTGGAGTCCCCCCTCTTACATCAGAGCTCAGCAGAGTCAACCCCCCCTTACGTCAGAGCACAGCGGAGTCCCTCCTTATGTCAGAGCTCAGCGGAGTCCCCCCTTATGCCAGAGCTCAGCGGAGTCCCCCCCCTTACGTCAGAGCTCAGCGGAGTCCCCCCCCCTTACGTCAGAGCTCAGCGGAGTCCCCCCTTACGTCAGAGCTCAGCGGAGTCCCTCCCTTACGTCAGAGCTCAGCAGAGTCCCCCCCCTTACATTACAGAGCTCAGCGGAGTCTCCCCCCTTACGTCAGAGCTCAGCCGAGTCCCCCCCTTACATCAGAGCTCAGCGGAGTCCCCCCCCCTTATGTCAGAGCCCATCGGAGTCCCCTCTTACATCAGAGCTCAGCTGCTAACTGGACATGGAATAGTGAAGTGTGAAGCTGCTGGAAGAACAGGGAGGGGGGAGGTAGATAAGGAGAGAAGGGAAGGAGGTGGGGAAAGCTCCATGGTAGAGCAGAGATCGCTCACCCCCCAGGCTGCTCTCTGCAGGCTCAGACATCGCCAATTGTACACCAGATGGATCTTCAAATATCCCGCCAATGGGAGCGGTCACAGAGCAGAGGGGCGGGAAAAGGAGGAGCAAAACAGAATCTCTCTCTCCTCCCCTGTCTATGCGGGGAGGGGGGAAGTGTGCTGTCTGAACAAGTGTCACAGACACTGAGCGTGCCCAGCTGCCCCCCCCCCCCCCCCCCCCGGAGTCTACCAATCACTTTCTTAAGTAAGCCTGCTGCTTGCCTGCAACAGGGATAAATGTAAGAAAACATCCTGCACTGCGCCCGGAACTACATGTCCCGAGAGTCGGGGGATAGGATTTGTGTGACGGGAGTGACTTTTGGGGGTGGGGGGGGACCGCTTGGTCAGCTCATGTCCCCCTCATTATGTTTAACCCACCCTGTGCCTGTTAAGGGTTACAGGGTGTGTATGTGAATGTGAATGTCCCAGTATTGTGTATAGTGTGTGTCCCTTTGTCCCTGCCATGTGCTACCCCCCATTGTGCTGTGTCTTCCTGTCCAGAGAACTATTATGGGATGTACTGTTTGTATTGGTGTGGGGGGTTGGTCAATGTCCTTGGCCACATGGTTGCATCCCATTGTTCTGTGTCTGGTTGGATGGGGAGGGGTGATGAGGTGTTTCCTGCCTATACTGTAGCCCTTCCCACTGAGGGTGGGCTGATGATGTATGTCCTGTCCCTGGTTGTCTTTCCCCGCCCTCTGTATATATTCTGTGTTTTGTGTAAAATAAAGTTAGTTGACTTCCTGTTTTAGTAAGAGCTGGTTGTCTGTCTATTTTCCTGAGGGATTCCAAGGGTGTGGTCCGTGGATGGTGTTCGGACAGGGGAAGTTGTGCTATAACGGAAAAAAAAAAAAAAAAAATCTCAGTGCGGTCTGGGTTCCGGTTCCGTTACAATTTGTAACTCCCTGAGTCCAAACTAAATGTGTTCCCATGGGGGCAGTAATTCTTCAATGTCCAGCAACCCTCCTATTCCCCCCTCACATCCACATCCTATTATTGTGTGACCAATACCATCCAAATCATTCTTACTTTCATTTCCCAAAGTTATCCGTCTACAAGGAGACCTGTATAGATCACATGATGGCACCAATGAGGATGGAGGAGGACCGGAGTCACATGACTGAGAAGATACTAAACCTCACCCTGGAGATCATCTACCTGCTGACCGGAGAGGTGAGGTCACATGACATCACTCATCTCTATTAATAAAACACAGACCTGACCGGAGAGGGGTGAGGAGGATTCTGGGAGGTCACATGACATCACTCTTCATCTCTATTAATAAAACACAGACCTGACCGGAGAGGTGAGGAGGATTCTGGGAGGTCACATGACATCACTCTCATCTCTACCTAATAAAACACAGACCTGAACCGGAGAGGTGTGGGAGGATTCTCTGGTTGAGGTCACATGACATAGCTCCTCATCTCTATTAATATCAAATACACAGACCTGACCGGAGAGGGTGAGGAGGATTCTGGGAGGTCACATGACATCACTCTTATCTCTATTAATTAAAAACAGACACAGAGGTGAGGATTCTGACCGGAGAGAGGTGAGGAGGATTCTGGGAGGTCACATGACGTCACTTATTATCTCTATTAATAACACACAACACAGACCTGACCGGAGAGTGAGGAGGTGGGGAGGAGGATTCTGGAGAGGTCCATTGACAGATTCTGGGAGGCTCACATATTTCTCTATTAATAAAACACAGACCTGACCGGAGAGGGTGAGGAGGATTCTGGGAGGTCACATGACATCACTCTGATCTCTATTAATAAAAAACAGACCTGACCGGAGAGATGAGGAGGATTCTGGGAGGTCACATGACATTCACTCTTATCTCTATTAATAAAAACACAGACCTGACCGGAGAGGTGAGGAGGATTCTGGGAGTCTAACATGATATTCCTATTGGTTCCGCAATACAGAGATTTCCTCTTCTGAAGTCAGGTGATCATATGACCATCACAGTGCCTCCATGTGACTCCCTAAACCCTGAGAGACACAACTGTCACATGCAGAAGATTCTAGAAAAGTCACCAAGAAGATGATGGAGCTGCTGACAGGAGAGGTGAGCGGGTGCCGGGAATTCTGGGACATTCTCCAGTAACAGACAAGGGATGTGTGTCTGGATGGTGACTGTATCATTGTGTGTGTCAGGTTCCTATAAGGTGTCAGGGTGTCACTGTCTATTTCTCCATGGAGGAGTGGGAGTATTTAGAAGGACACAAGGATCTCTACAAGGACGTCATGATGGACAATCAGCCGCCCCTCACAATCACCGGGTAAGAGGAGACTTTATTGTAAAGGAGAGAGCAGTACGGAGGATCCACCTAGATCCCCCATCATCTGATATAAACACATAGAAACAATGGATTCAGTCAGTGTGTGTGTTTTCCTACAGATGGATCCAGTCATGGGAACCCACCAGAGAGATGTCCCCGTCCTCTGTATTCCCGGGATTCCACACAGGAGGTCACACCATCCCTCACCATCATCAGGAAGGTCATCACCATCAGAACTACATCACTGACCTAATATCCAAGTACCGCCCAGCACGCACACTCCGCTCCTCACAAGACCTCCCTTCTCTCTAGTTCCCTGGTCTCCTCTCCCATGCCCGCCTCCAGGACTTCTCCAGGGTGTCACCCCATCCTCTGGAACTCCCTTGCCCCCAACCCATCAGATTATCACCTACTCTCCTCTCCTTTAGGCGCACCCTGAAAACCCATCTCTTCAGGGAAGCCTACCCCACCCTCTGCTAACTTGCCTGACCTCCTCCACTCTTCCTACCACTCCATCCCCCACAGCTATCTCCTCCTGTACCACTATCCCCTCCCTCCTAGATTGTAAGCTCGAAAGAGCAGGGCCCTCGATCCCCTCATGTTTTGCATTGTATTGGTATTGTTCTGTCACATGTTCTGTCCCCCTTTGTAATGTACAGAACTGAGTGAACTATTGGCGCTTTATAAATACTGTATAATAATAATAATAATCAGGTAGATGATGACAATTATTGGTAGTTGTGATTTATACACAGCATGTTTGTTACAATGAATGTTTTATTATATCTTTCAGAGTGGAATCCTCGGGGATGATAATATTGATGTTTAAAGAAGAGTATAAAGAGGAGGAGGATGAGGAGTATGGAGTGATGGAGGAGTTTTCAGAAGGACACAAGGATATGATGGAGCCACCTAATACCAGGAACCCACCAGAGAGATGTCCCCGTCCTCTGTATTCCTGGGATTCCACACAGGAAGGTCACACCATCCCTCACTATTACAAGGTTGGTGTGATGGAGCATCTAGAACATGGACTCATAGAGACAATGTGTGGATATTTTTATGTGACCTTACATTTTACAGATGATATTTTCTCTCATTTCCTTGATTTAGAGTGGAGATCCAATCGATATAGAATTTGAGGTGAAAGCAGAAGAAGAAGAAGAGGGTATGTGAGGGATGATCAGCAGTCTATGGAGGAGGATGGAATAACGGGGACATTTATAGAGGAGGGACACTCCTACAGAGATCAGCACAGGTGGGTCATGAACACTAAATCCATTCCTCCACCCATACTGCTCACTGATTGGTCCAGAGTAGGGCGGGGACTGGGTGATATCAGCCTGTAATCCCCTGGTCACTTTCCTGAGCTGTGTTCCCCGTCCTGTATTCCTGGATTTCTCTCGGATAATCTTCCTTCTCTGTGCTGCAGACACAATTTATGTATCTAGACTGGATTTATGGAGGTTCTGGGGTTCAGCTGGCAGAAAAATGTTGATTTTTACTCTAAGCATTGCATAATGTAGGCACCAGGACATGTGACTGGGGTCTCCTGCCTTGTGCCTGACTCTTCCAGGGGACCTTCTCTGTTATCTGCTGGCTGTGCCGGGTGGAGGGATATGTCTGTAGTGTCTCAGACCCAAGTCACTGAGTGCAGTCTCAGGAGATGGGAGACAAGCAGCCCTTTAGGGATCTTTAATTACTGAATACCAATATTATGAGTCCTGACCCTTACTCTGTATAATTTATATTGTACATTACATACTCCTGACCCCTGACCTGCACTATATTACTCTATGTTGTACATTACATACTCCTGACCCCTGCACTATATACTCTATGTTGTACATTACATACTCCTGACCCCGGCACTATATACTCTATGTTGTACATTACATACTCCCTGACCCTGCACTTATACTCTATGTTGTACATTACATACTCCTGACTCCTGCACTGTATACTCTGTTTGTAGTACTCTGCACTATATACTCTGTTGTACACATTACATACTCCTCTGACCCCTGCACTATATACTCTATGTTGTACATACTCCTGACCCCTGCACTATATACTCTTTGTTGTTTACATTACATACTCCTGACCCCTGCACTATATACTCTATGTTGTACATTACACTACTCCTGACCCCTGCACTATATACTCTATGTTGTACACTCCTACACTACTATACTCTGTTGTACATTACAGCACTCCTGACCCCTGCACTATATACTCTATGTTGTACATACTCCTCAGACCCCTGCACCTATATACTCCACTGTATGTACATTACATCCTCCTGACCTTGCACTTATATACTCTGATGTTGTACTTTACTCTCTGTCCCCTGCACTGTATACTCTATGCTTGGACATTACATACTCCTGACCCCTGCACTATATACTCTATGTTGTACATTACATACTCCTGACCCCTGCACTATATACTCTATGTTGTTGTTACATTCCTGACATATATATCTCTATGTGACATTACATACCCCTGACCCCTGCACTATATACTCTATGTTGTACATTACATACTCCTGACCCCTGCACTATCTACTCTCTATGTTGTATTACATTACATACTCCTGACCCCTTGCAGTATATACTGTATTTCATTATGCACTTGTATAATACATTACATTACTCAATACTCCTGACCCCTGCACTATATACTCTATGTTGTACATTACATTACATGACTCCTGACCCCTGCACATATATAACTCCTGACCCCCTCTATATGTTATGTAGTACATTACATACTCCTGACCCCTGCACTATATTACTCTATGTTGTACATTACATCACTCCTGACCCCTGCACTATATACTCTATGTTGTACATTACATACTCCTGACCCCTGCACTTATATACTCTATGTTGTACATTACTCTAGACCCCTGACTACTCCTGACCCCCTGCACTATATATACTCTATGTTGTACATTACATACTCCTGACCCCGCACTATATACTCTATGTTGTACATTACATACTTCCTGACCCTGCACTATATTCTCTATGTTGTACATTACAATACTCCTGATGACCCCTGCACTATATTACTCTATGGTTGTAACATTACATACTCCTGACCCCTGCACTATATACTCTATGTTGTACATTACATACTCCTGACCCCGCGTGCAACTATATACTATGTTGTACATTACATACTCCTGACCCCTGCACTATATATACTCTATGTTGTACATTACTTACCCCTGCAACTATATTCTCTATGTTGTACATTACATACTCCTGACCCTGCACTATATACTCTATGTTGTACATTACATACTCCTGACCCCTGCACTATATTCTATATGTTGTAGATTACTCCTTATGCACTATATACTCTATGTTGTACATTACATACTCCTGACCCTGCACTATATTCTCTATGTTGTAGATTACATACTCCTGACCCCTGCACTTATACTCCTGACCCCCAGCACGACTATATGTTGTACATTACATACTCCTGACCCCTGCACTATATACTCTATGTTGTACATTACATACTCCTGACCCCTGCACTATATTCTTTATGTTGTAGATTACATACTCCTGACCCCTGCACTATATACTCCCATGTTGTACATTACATACTCCTGACCCCTGCACTATATACTCTATGTTGTACATTACATACTCCTGACCCCTGCTATTATATACTCTACAGTGGATATAAAAAGTCTACACACTCCTGTTAAAATGTCAGGTTTCTGTGATGTAAAAAATATGAGACAAGGATAACTAATTTCAGAACTTTTCCACCTTTAACTTCTGTCCTACCATCCGCAGTGTTTATACTGCAGCAGGGCGGCACCGCTGTGCTACAGCACGTTAAAAAATGGTGTCTAGCAAAACAGGGAGCAAAACAGTTAACCTTTCATTCAATAAAAAAGTTAACCCCTTCCTCCCCAGTGCCATTAGTACAGTGTCAGTTTTTTTTTTTTTTTCACTGATCACTGTATTGGTGTCACTGGGGATGTCAGTGACCCCAAGTCAGTTCCCCCCCAGCGTCAGAACGTCCGCTGCAGTCCCGCCATAAGTTGCTGATCACTGTCATAAATCGCTGTTCACCGCCATATTCAAGTCACTGATTGCCGCCATAAGTCGCTGATTGCGCTGATTGCCGCAATTATTATTATGGAAAAAAAAAATTCCCAGTATCTTCCTGCCATTTGAAACGCAATTATAACTTTCACGTAAACCAATTAATTTACACGTATTGGGATTTTTGTTAGCAAAAGACATGGAGCAGAATACATTTTGGCCGAAAATTTATTACAAAATTAGATTTTTAAATTTTTTTACTGCACAATGTTTTAGAGCAAAAAGTCCAAAAATATAGTTTTTTTTTTCTCAAAATTATCAGACTTTTTTTTATATAGCGCAAAAAATAGAAAACGCACAGGCGATCAAATACCACCAAAAGAAAGCTCAATTTGTGGGGGAAAAAAAAGGATGTAAATTTATTTTTGGGTGCAGTGATGCATGACCGCGCAATTGTCAGTTAAAGTAACGCAGCGACCGTAACACAAACCGCTTCTGTAACGGCTTCCTGACCGCCCTATAGCAGAAATACTACTACAGGGCGGCATGGGTGCGCTAAATCACATATATATATATAAGTATACATTGATTTGTGCTCCCGTGGTTTTCACGCCCCTCCAAGATGGCATCAGATTGCCAGTCAGTACACCAGTCATCACATTTAACCCCTTGATTGCCAGGAGCATGCTCATGTACAATAGACCTCCATTGCTAGTATAGTGTCTGAATGGGTTCAATATCTTTGATCAGATCAGCACTATACAGCATTCACATTAGTATAGTGTCCCCAAAAATGCAGCGTTAGCGGGATCAGCCCCACCTGCAACACCTGCGTTTAGCCCCCCATACGCTTACCCCCCCCGTCTCCCCCAGCAAGTGCAGTGTCAGTAGGTCACTGTCACTGATACATTGTACACAAAACCGCAGTGTTGGCAGAATCAGGCCTGATCTCTGTTAGCACTTGCCGGTAAATTTTGATGACTTTCATATGCAGCCTCTTAGATTGTAAGCTCCCAGGATCAGGCCCTCCTTTCCCTCTTGTATTGAACTGTATTGTTGCTGTATTATCTCCCTTTATATTGTAAATCACTGAGCAAACTGTCGGCGCCATAAATCCTGTATAATAATAATAATACCAGCACTGCAGTATGACTTGGTGACATGGTGAGTCCCATAAGTGCAGTACAAGCTGGTGCAGTGGTGAGCACAAGTATTGTCTCCCGCTGCCACCAAGAATTCACACACAGGCCCGTAGAGCCCTTAGTATCCTTCCGGATGTGCTTGCAAATCCCAATTGGCAGCCCACAAATTCTGCAGCACCTCGTACTTCCCCTGTACACTGTCCAACCCGGAATTCAGGTGGAAATAGAAAATTTAACTCCTTCCCTTGATTTTTGGAGCTGTTTTTCACGGAATATCTGTATGCGTTGATTGTGGATCAAAGCAGTTTCTATGCACAACAATTTATCGCGCCGCCAACCAAAATTCAAACCTTGCCAGACCATTCGCATGGAAACTCATTACGGTTTCTGAATTTACTTTTTTTGGGCCTAACCCCTAACATGGGCATTACTAAAAGAAATGAATTGTGGTTGTATTGGTCCGCAGACCCCATTCATCATATGCCGTGTGTCTCTGCTGCCATGGCCAGGCATAGATATGAGAGTATAATGTGTTTTATGCATTTCAGCGACAATACACTCTGTCATCCTCGGGGGGACCCTGAATTTCAGCAACAATACACTCTGTCATCCTCAGGGTGACCCTGAATTTCAGCGACAATATACTCTGTCATCCTCGGGGGTGACCCTGAATTTCAGCGACAATACACTCTGTCATCCTCAGGGTGACCCTGAATTTCAGCGACAATACACTCTGTCATCCTCGGGGTGACCCTGAATTTCAGCGACAATATGGTGACCCTGAATTTCAGCGCGACAATATACTCTGTCATCCTCGGGGTGACTCTGAATTTGACGGCTCCACAAAATTCAGCCCCTCGCAAATTACTTTAATCAAAAATTTGCAGATGTCTATACTCCCC